TAATTTATAATCAGTCACAAGAACGTCGAATCTGAATCACTTGAAAAAAACACGGGGTGCTTAACTTTTTTCCAGGTGTATGTATCAGTGTGGAGATTGGGTATGGCTTTAGAGTGTGCATTGGCATACAAGTGGCTTAATTCTGAACATACAGGTTCTTTTTATCTTGTGCTCTGATGAGTTGGTCCATAAACATGCAAGTTACAGCAGTCAAGAGATTAGCAGAAGTGCATAATATACATTGACCAGCTATGTCTATACAATATTGATGAATTGCTAGTGCACTGACTTCACTAAGACTCAGACACAGAGGTTGAGGAGGAAGGGGCTAAATGTATTATCCAGCTATTCACAATGCACCAGACGAGGAAGCACTGAATTTTGAAGCAAATGACAGCTCTGGTTGTCAGCCAAACCACTGACAATGGCCTCCCAATCAACATGACTGGGATTAAACCTGATCATATGCAGCTAGGACTACCATGTGTTTTAAAAATCATGAACTGAAAGGAAGTAGCATTCCTTGCTTTCTGTGCTATTGCATGACAAAATATGTGTATTTCATTTTTATGATTATCACTTGATTACCTTAAGTTAAGATGGCTGGAGTGAATAGATATAATACCTGGTACACCATGCAACAAACAATTTGTACAACCCAAGGTAGTTGCTACAAATTCAAAACCTCAGTTGAAAGAGTACTGTGACCCTTGTTTTTTGAGCAATTGAGCAGAATTTTATTGAGAGATATTCCCATAGATAACAAATGATAGCTTTTAAATAATCATATGTTAGGATCGTTTGTTGATTGTGGTCAAAATCATTAAGTTATTTTTGCTCTAGCTACTTAACTGTTCTGTGTCATTCACCTAGAGTAGCATCTTTTGTAGACATTTATATTATATATTTAAAATACGTTAAAAAGTGTTAGTCAGAGATGATTTTATATTTGGTGGCGAATAATGACTGCAAATGTGCTGATTTGAAGAAATTTTAAAATGAGTTTAAGCAAAATAGAAACAATTGATATTGAATATTTTTTTATTTTTTTTGCAGATACAGTCCAAATTTTTGTTGTTGTATCAGATTATTGCTGTTTCTGGTCATATAACAAACATCCAATGCATACATGTACATAACACAAACTTAAGTGTGTAACTTATAGATTACTTCATTAAAGAGTTTTCTTTCCTAAATATTAAAACTACATATATATGACAGTGAGTATAGTTAAAAATTACTTTTCAAATGAATCTGGATATACACAGGTAAATATGGATAAATTAAATGAACAAGATAAGAAAGTGAACAGTCAAAAAAATACTCAATTGTGAAAATACAGTAAAAATACAATTACATTTTACTTCCTTAGGCCACTTTTGTCCAAAATGCACCAAGTTCTATTATGTTTCCAATCAGCTATGGTTCCATAGTTAAAGTTGCATCTATTTTTAAACTCTTTAAAACAAATTTTCAGTTTAGTAATTTACAAAATGACATTTTTTACCCTTAACAATAGCAATCAATTTTCTGATCACTTTATGTTACTATTTTTTGGTAAGTTTTGACCACAAAGTATTTTCAAGCCATCATAACTGGCAAAAAACTAGTTCAGCTTTTTTTTAGTAATATAAGTATGTGGTATAATCCAACAACAAAATGAAAATTACTCACATGATAAAACAGTATCATCAGTAAGTTATGTAACAAAAATAACATATGTTCACATCAAATATAGTATTTTAGTACAATAGCTTTGCTACACTTTTTCACTTTCAAATCAATGACACATGCAGACAGGAAAAAATAGTACACTTTTACCAAATAGAAAAGACAAAAAAAGTTAATAAACTATCACAATACAAATAATTCATCTATGAAAAGTGTTCTCAAAATGTTAGCTCTCACAAAATTGGGTTGGAAAAACAAACAACTCATAAATTTGTATTGAGCAAACACTGTTGTCAGTTTCCATCATGGAACATCAATAACTACTCTATCAAAGATCAAAAATCATATATCTATAAATACCCAAATAACCCAGTCATTATATTTTCCACTCTTCAGTTGATTCATTAAGATCTGAACTCACTATTATAAAATTTCTTGGTCTGACTCACACCATTCAATCAGAACTGTGGTCACAGCAGAATTTGTGCAGACTTTTCTTATGGATGTTTATTTAACAAATGAAGGGAAAAAAATTATTAAAAAAAAAACAACAACAATTAAAAAAAGGCACTGTCAAACTCATATGTGAAATGTAAATACTTACCTAAGATTGTTAGCTTTTTCTAGATAATTTACTACAAAACAATTTCTAAACATAGCAATAGCTTCCTATTAGATTTTCAGTGAAATTCACATACAATTCACAGTGACACCTGAAGTTTTGGTTCAAAAAATTTAAGGTACATTGCATTTAGGAGTTAATGAAGAATTGGATATCAGCAGAGTATAAGAACTGGATTATACAGGTTGAATAAATACTATTTTCAAAACAGTACTATTATTAATTTTTAATACAAGGTTTTTCAAAGACCAAACAAAATTTTTTGAAAAGCATTGAACTTAAAACAATATGAAAAACAAATTCAACTAAAAAGATTATATCTTTTCTAATGTGTTAAATTGCCCTCTATCATTTAGGTTTCAAATGCTATGCAAGAAACATTTGATGTATCCATTTACATGCATGTTTTTCAAGAAAGTCTATAATTTTCTCTTCATAGTTGATACCCATCATTCAAGTTCAACTTTATATTTTTTTAAAGACAGATATCTGAAATACTAAAATGCTTTTGTGGAGCCACAGATTTTGATTTATAAGCCTTTCTGCTAAACGTTTTGTAAATTAAGGATGACTTTCATCAACTTAAACCTGTTTTTCAAAATTACATCAGTTTTGAAGAGCACAAAACAACTGTAAAAAGAAATTATACAAAAACGTCACTGTTCATTTACTAACATGTCACTGAAATCTGTTTACATTATACTTTCTAAGCAAACTATGTTCAGAGTAAACATTCTCATTTTCCACAAATTTTATACTTCAACTGTTAGCTATTTACTATGTCTTATCCTTCATATACATATACTTATCTATATCAGTATATTTTGTCAGTTTCTTTACCATATCTTATAAAACCCCTTACAAATGTCTTACATTCTACAGAGCAAATACCTAAACACTAACTGATAATTTTTAAATACAAAAATATTTTGTTTCTTTCTTGATGAAAAATATACTTCATGTCTGTATAAAAAAACATGTTAAACTATTTTTAATTCTTAACTTGACTGTAAATATATTTCAACAGGTGCACTTGTAAAGGAAACAATTATGTTTCTTGAATAACATGATGGACACACCTTGAACTAAATCAATTATGATCAAACTGTTGTCAAACACTATCAATAACAGACATCACCTATACAGACCAATCATTTCCACAAGTTACTACAAAAAGTGATTCTAAAGACTTAGTATTGCAAATCATGAAAAATATAGATACTCTTTTTGTAACAGATACAAGTTTTACTATACATAACATGCAGTAATTGTTGATATAAAAATAATAGTATTTTATCTTATTGTAAGTTTAACATTACATTTGTTTCTACTGGTGAGAGAAACTTTAGTTTTAGTTTAAGACCAGTTTTCCCAGTGAACCATGATACAATTTTGAGATGTTTATTTATAAATATCCATGCAAAATCACTACATATTCAAAATAATTTAAAAACCTTAATATAATTTCATATTACACATACAGTTCTTGTGAAAATTTGATAGACTCAGAAACAAACAAAATTATCTAAAGGTTACTCTGAAAACAATATAATCTAAGGTGATTTAAAGTATTAAACAATTTCACATAACATATATCTTACTGGAACTGTCATGCAACAAAATTGTATGAATGTCATGAGGTTACATAGTATCTGCTGACAAGTTTATTGCTATAACTTTCTTGGAGATGTAATGTATGAAAAAACAGAGAAATCAGACATACTCCACATTTTCCATTAACTCAGTCTTCAGCTAATAAATGTATGTTACAGCTTCAATAACATTCTATGAGAATTTAATGAATCTGTCTTTAACAGTCAACATTGTTATGACTGTTGAATCTTTCTCTACCAATCAAGAAATGTGATGGTTTATTGAATCTCTGTTTAACAATCAAGATATGTAATGGTTTATTGAATCTTTTTTAACAATCAAGATATGTAATGGTTTATTGAATCTTTTTTAACAGTCAAGATATGTAATGGTTTATTGAATCTTTTTTAACAGTCAAGATATGTAATGGTTTATAGAATTTGTTTCACAAGCTACGACTTTTATTGAACCTATTTGACACAAAAACTATGATGATATACTGGAACTGATATTTGTAAGCAAGTGATTTATTGAATACATACCTGACATTCATGAACTGTGAAGTCCAAGTACTGAATATTAGTAAATGGATATGCAAGCCTAAAGTTATAATTTTCTTATATGAAAATGTATTTCTAATAGGTACTTCCCTCTACTCATAAGATTAGCTTTTCCCATTTTCTGCTCCCCTCTATATGCAAACTTTTTTCAAAACACATGCCACAAGCCTTCCACATCTCTCTGTTGGAATCTAAAGTTCTAACATGTCTCTCATGCGAGTCATCATGCGTCAACAGTCCACCAATAGGAGAACATTACTATCATGTGATGCAGGTGACTCCCTCTATGCACCACTACTGAACTATCACTTCGAAGTTTGGCAGAAGACATGAGCACGAGAAGATTGTGGGAAAATTTATGAAATATAGGGAAATTATAACTTCCGACACACTACCTTCCCTCCACTCATGAGATTAGCTTGAATCTCACATTGAAAAGGAGGAGGAACCGGTGCGAGGAAAGAACAGGTGTATCCCCCAAAAGCAATCGAGGGATACCTCTGGGAATGAGAGAGTATAAATATCACTGACAATGGCTATAGCCATCTAATTAGAACCCATTCAGTGTTCAGAAACAATACCTGGTCAGGCATCACTCACCACAGAGCGGGATTCAAAGTGAAGTTGAAGCAATAGCCTCTAAAAGAAAGAAAAGCATAAGAAAGGGTTTACATCGTGTCAAAGCCGTGCCGAAGTATGAAGAACCCATTCAGTGTTCAGAAAGAATACCTGGTCAGGCATCACTCACCACAGAGTGGGATTCAAAGTGAAGTTGAAGCAATAGCCTCTAAAAGAAAGAAAAGCATAAGAAAGGGCTTACATCGTGTCAAAGCCGCAACGAAGTATGTAGAATAGCCAAAGGCAGCGGCCGATACCCCGAGGAAGTAGAAATTGCGATGTGGTGTAAATATTGGGTGATGAACGTGTGCGAAGTCGTACACATGCCTGACTGTAGAATCTCCTCCAATGGCCGAAGAAGATGATAACCAAGGGAGAAGGTAAGGTGTCAGATTTGATAGAAAGAGATCATGCTAGGAGAGGGAGAAGAAGGAATAAGCCAACTGGTCAGGGTAACAGGGAAAAGATTACAGGAAGAGGAAGTTTGCCATGGGATAAAGAGGCGGGAATGAGAACCCTAGAAGGAAGCCGTGCATATAATATAATAATGGAGGGAGGGTAGAAATGAGAGATAGAGGGAAGGGTCTGGGGAAGGAATGCACGATCTGGATAAAGTATGAAGTAGGTTTAATTATACAATGTCCTGGTGATGTTGAGAGCAAAAATATTCAATTCACGATATTCACAAGCCAATAGGAGGAGGAAATATGCCTTAAGGGAGAGGTGAAACAAGTAACAGAAGAAATGGGTTTGAATGGATGTAAAGTAAGGAAAAAATGGAAAGTATGGAATAAGGCTGCCTGGAAATCCAAAATCGAGGAGACGGATGAACTCCTCTCAAAGAGCCAAGTAAGGAATTCGGAGATACCTGCAACTGTAGACTGAGAAGCCGGGAAATCCCAAAACAAAGCCCAGGAGTGAAAAACACTCCACTTCCATTGGTAAAAAGCCAAGGAAGAAGGATGAATGGAACAGATTAAATGAAAAGCTACTCGGCAAGAGAATCTGGAACTCCTTACCAGGGACTGAACAAAAGTCATGCATGAAGACGGAGGATAGGAGGTGTGGGATGTAGAACCAGCGACTGGGGTCGAGGTAACAGGTCTGGAATTAAAGGAAGAGGGATGGGAGGGATCACCTGGAGCCGAAGGAACCAAGAGAACCATGGTTTAGCAGCCACTAAGGAGTAATTAGAAAGCCTCATCACAGGGTGGCATGGAGGAGGGAGACTACCCAATGAAGTAATTGGATAGGAGGATAAACAGAAAGAAACAGGTGAGACCTATCCTGGCTGAAGGCATCTATCTATTGCCAAAGATGGGGAACTAGGGACCAAAACTGAAGTAATTGGTGAGAGAGGGCAGTGGCAAATGCATTGATATGGGGAGTACCCAAAGGATGATAGCATCACCAAAAAACAGCAGGATGTAAAGATAAACCCGATCCAGTTGGGAAAGACAATCCACCACCAAGAATATGACATGCCATCAAACAAATGTGATGGTAGTGAGCCCAATAGAGAAGAACCATTGTGCAAAAACACAGTGATTTTGACTAGGTGTCACCTTGGTGATTGATATAAGCCACCACTGTAGAATTGTTGGAATGGATCAAAACCACTTGACAAAAATATACATGGCAAAAGCTAGACCAAAGAGCAGGGCACTAAAAAGGTATATTAACCCATGACGAAAGTAAAAACCATACAGAACAGGTACGACAACCTGTTGGGTGAAGAGGTTGGGTACTGCCTCGGAATACACTGGCTTGACCAGTGATTCCGAAGAGGAGGAAAGAAACCATAGGGGTAAAGGGTATGACGAAATCCTCTGATAGAACATCATGAACACAAACTTTGGAAAGGAAAAGGCTGCTCTGATGAACGCAAATCGCCAGATAAGCTACCCCCAGTCCCGAACTCATCAGGCAGTCACCGGAACCATTGCCTGCATATCAGGTATCGTGGCAAAAAAAGGCGAACTGCGGTACCACAGGAAGCTAGGACAGGCAGGGCTGTGAAGGGTAGGGTCGGGAAACAGGATTTGGAGCCACATCCAGCTCTGACGGAGACTAACGGGCACTTGATGTGAAAGGTGGATCACTATAGGACAGAAGTCAACCACAACTCCAAGGACACAGTAATCGTGTCACATTAGAAACATCATAAAAATAGGGCCATAAGAAGGTCCCGTATATACGAAGCCGGGTGACGTGTCCGTGAAAATATAGAGAAGTGAACCACGTGTGTACGGCCAGAGCCGAAGATAACACGGCCGATAGTGGAAGGGAAGAGGGTGAGGATGTTCCCAGAAAACCCCACAGGGTTCCTGAAGGGCCTCAGACAGAAAGAGGAGTGAGATGAGGTATTACAAAGAGTGTCAAAGGAAGGCCAAGGCAAAAACGGGGCATAGGTAGGATGAACAAGAAAATTGGAACCCGTTCCCCCCAAACAGGTAAAACTGAACCCACAACTGGTGGTCCAGAATTTTGGAGCTCGCCCTAAAAGTCGCAAGAGTGGACTGACCCAAAGCCCGCAGGAAACTGGGAATGCCAATAGGGCAGAAAAGTACATTGTAAACCCAAACATAAGGGGATGGGTGGAAAACAAGGTAGAGAGGTAGAAATAAGGAAGGACATGGATCAAAATAACTATGGCAACAGATAAAACATCACATACCTGAGATATAATCTCCGAGAAAGCTGACAAGGACTGAACAGAATCCTCAGGAAGGTAGGGGGGGATTCATCAGCCTGTGCCTGTAAAAGGTCGAAAAGTACAGGAAGAAGGCGGCCATGAACAGGAGACAATGTGCATTCCATATAATTCTCCATCTCCCCGCAAACAAAGGCTGAAAAATCCCCCTACAAGTCGCCCACGCCTGTGACCGAAAGTGCAGTAACAGACGAGTGATATGCACCAAAATGGTAACAGTGACCTCGGAATTCAGGTTAGATACTAAACAAGCAAAAAATGTATGGCAAGTGCTCTCAAATAAAAGTGAAATGAAATTAAATGAAGTTGAACTAATTTAAATAAAATTAAACCACTTCGAGGGTAATCAGTGGACTAAACAAAGACATCTGCTCTAAAGCACTGCCAATCTTCGAAGTAATAGTTTGGTAATGGCGCATAGAGGGAGTCACATGATAGTAGTGCTCTCCTATTGATGGAGAGTCAATGCATGATAATTCACATGAGAGACATGTTGGAAGTTTGGATTCCAACAGAGGGATGTGGAAGGCTTGTGGCATACGTTTTTAAAACAGTTCGCATATAGAGGGCAGCACAAAATATGAAAAGCCAGTCTTGTGAGAAGATGAAAGGTACCGTATCGGATTTTTTTTTAAAATTTAGGTGCAAAAACTTGGCCAAACTTGAAAGTGTTTTATACCGAGCAACAATATACAGAAATCCGGAATGCCTTCTAATATTATCAATAAAAATATTTCTAACATATTGAAAGGTCTAAATCATTATGTTTAATAAAGAGCTACTTTAAAAGTGACACACTAAACATATTTTCGATATCTGATTAGGTTTAAAACACTGACTGTAAATACTATTTCAGATATTTGATTTAAAATTCGCAAGTCTGATATTTTATCTACACAAGCTACAAGAAAGCTATATATTATGCCAAAATAGTTCTCAAGGACAAGGAAAGCAATATGATGATGTTAATATCTGGAGATTAGATTTTCAGTACCACATACTACACCTAATTATTGAGATGAACTTCAGTAAAATACAATAAAAAAAGTTTATAAGAATGAACGTGTAAATCAGCTTTGGTTAAATCAGACCTTTTTTCACACACAAATTTTATCTTCTAATGTTGTATAGACCAATTGTTTCTAATCTAACCATTCATGTTTGACATCACAGAGGTAGGAATTCAGAATGACCACAAAACTAACTGTTACACAACTGCTGAGATAATGGTTGTAGCAGTCTGAATGGCAAAAATGAGAATAGGAAAATGCTGTTCTAGCAGACTAAATGAGGTATTTTGGTCATTGTTATTAATTAATTCTGCCAGCTCATCCTCTAGGCCAGGAAAGAGGGTCTCATGGTGGATTTCTGCTTCACTTGGTGAAAGTACCAAGTGCCTAAATAATAAAAAAAATCAAAGTTATAGATTCTTGATTATGTCTCCTGTAAGTTGAGTACTAAATCATTTAAGTACTTATACTACAAGCTGTTCTTGTTAAAAACAGTCCAAATGATTTCACTGAACAGTATATTTGAAATTGTTTTTATATGTAGCTCAAAGAAAGAATTTGAAGCTTTTTAGTTTTCTGTTACAACTATACAGAAAATGCTGTTGGACTAGTATGCTGAAACCCATTTTATCCCAACATCCTAGATTTGGTACTGAGGCCCAACAAGAACAAGTTTAATAATACTAATTCAGCTAAACAAACTGCTTTTCAAACAATACAAGTATTGTAACTGCTGTTAATTTTTATCTCATCCAGTACAAGCTTCAAGCAGAAAGGAAAAGTGATTTAACAGTTGTAATCAAGCAGATTAACATAAAAATCATGATGTGTCCTTGACCTACTCACCCCTGGGGATGTAACAAATGATGTCAGAAGGGGTGCTACTCAATATTATGGCTGTGATGCTCCAAAAGTCCAGGAGAAACCCTTTGTGGTGTAAATGTTTGATAAAGAAATCAATTTTTTGAAATATCTATTTTTAACTAAAAGTATACTTCTCCTTGTACTTCAGGTTTTACATTAACATATTAAAAGATTGCAGAAACTATCTATAAACAAGGCTTTTTGGAGTTAAAGAGATATGTTAATGGGTCTCTACAGCAACCACAACACGTGGCAGATGGGAATTGGAATATAAGGATGCCAGTAACATGAAAAATCCACGAGCTGTTGTAGACAAAGGGTTATTGTCAATGTTATATAAGGCTCCCACAGGATAGAGGCCCTTTTGTAGATTTGTAGTACATACTAGGCCCTCCTTCTCAAAGTGCTGGCAGACAGAAGTAGCTAGCCAGATCTGTACCCCCTCCCCCCATTACCTGGTCATGGCTATTGCAAGGTTATAAATGTTAATCATAGTGTGGAGGTTCAGGTCCAAATATAAAAGAAGAGGGGGGTTCTTGATCTCTAGAATGCTGTTTTTTGATAGCCGTTGAAGATTTATTCTTGGCAATGAAGAGAATAAACTTTGATATGTTCAAACAGGGTTGAGAGTCAATTCTGTCTTGACTCTCAAAATTTGGTTCATTTAGCAACATAGACACCAAGGAATTGACGTTTATTGTAGCAGACTGACCCTGGCAGTCAGGTGGAAAATTACCACATAAACAGTAAAAGTCCAATGTCAAACATTTCTATTCTCAAAATGTTTACCAGTTTGGTCATAGAAAGGGTCGTAGCTATATAATCACTGAAACTAAAGCTTCTTTAGATCCTTATTAAACACAAGCAGAGTATTTTTCCCTGTCTGTGAGTTGTTGGAATTATTCTAGAAAATGTTCCAAGAGTTGGGTTGTAAGTCTGGTCTTGTTTATGATTTTATGATCATGTAGTCAATTTTTTTACAGGCTGTGCAGTTCAGACACCTTAAAAAGGTACCTCTCGTTCTCCACTTGGTATTTAATATATTAGCTCAGCAAAAGCCCTAGCTTCCAGCATTCCATCCTCATTGGTGTATGAAGCATTCTGACTTCTCCTCTACATGGATCTGTAACTGTTTCTTTAGGCATTCAGACAATTGATGTTAGAGGCAAAAGCAAAAAAATATATATATATATATTTCAAAACTGAAAAGCTTATTCACATCATAAGGTTAAATAATTTCAACATTTTTGGCCTTTCTTACAAACATGAGAAATAAAATCTAAACCAACAAATGGTACTTCACACAAGTATCAAATTCAAAAAATTCTTACTTCTTAAAGAAGTTACGTGGCAGTCCACGAGAGTCAAGAAAAGCCCGTTCTAAAAGCAGTAGCTGATCATTTATACGACGAATTGCCATGGGACTATAAAACAATGTAACAAAACAAAAGCAAATTCAATTCAAAGACAGATCTCATAACTAATGATACTGAAGTTCCTCATACAAAAACAAGAGTAAAAATATTTGAAAAATTTCGTCACCTTTTTAGTGATGACATTGAACATGAAACAACATCTAATTTTATGGGTGAACTTTTACACTAAACCCAAGTCTAATCAAAATTTATCATGTTGGGGAAGACTTCTTGAAGGCCTGAAAAGTAAGTCTTATAATGAAACTAGCGTATAGACTGTCAAAAATGAGGAGGCAAGTACCCTCACACCATAATATACTATAACCTAACATTTCATAGCTAACTGAAATATATAAATTTTGCAAAATACAGTTTGACCAACAGAAAATTGCAGTCGAGGCAGTCAAACATCAGTAAATTCCTTTGTGATACAATCAAAATTAAGATCATTCATGAAATTAATTTATGGCTTATTCACAGAGTAATTATTGGCAAAAATCACTTAGATTAACAAATTCTAATATATAGAAAAGCCAGTGCATTTTGGTAGCACTACATTCCAACAATGGTTTTTATGTCATGTTGTTTAGTAAAAAAAGTTTAAAATGAACTGTATAGACAACAAAACTGGAAAAATATTTGTTGATTTCTTAATTTAAATACTTAGTTGATTAAAGAGGTTTGTTTTCTTATTAAAACCATTGGTGACGATGGAACAGAAAATAGCTTAATTCAGAAACGATTTAAGTTTAAAATTGAATTGATATTTTTACTTTCATGCTTTAGGCTAGATGATCCCACACTATGTCTTTACTTTAGGCTTATTATACTAACACTCACTACACTTATAAGGTTTCACATCACACACACCCTCACAGCCCCCTTGCACCCCATCACTAAAGTCATAATGGGCAGACAGTAATTGAACTATTCTATCCGAATAAATGCATTTTGGCTTTTATGACTCCTATTTTGAGAAATCCAGTGTGATGTGACACACACTGACTTTTATATAGGTTAAATTGACTGATTACACTTGGCAAAAATGTGACAGAAAAAACTTCCGACTGTCACTTCTGATTAAAAAGAGCTCTATAGAAATTTAAATATCTGGTCCAATGAATTTATACAGTTAAACATATTACATTCTTATTTCATCTACATTTTGACTAATTATTAATATTATACATCCAGATAAAATGAGGGATTAACCTTATTAAATATAGATGGGTGACAATTGATGCAAAATTATTTTTACATGTTTTTTTTTCAGTTTTCTTGTCTTCAGAAATAATTCATATTAACTATACATACAAGAGCTATAAAATACTTTGTAAAGAGAAAAAAAAACAGTAAACATGCATTGGATTGTTTAACAGATAAAAACAGTAAAAATGCACTGGCTTGTTTAATCTTAACATCTAGCATAGATAAAAACAGTAACAATGCACTGGCTTGTTTAATCTTAACATCTAGCATAGATAAAAACAGTAACAATGCACTGGCTTGTTTAATCTTAACATCTAGCATAGATAAAAACAGTAACAATGCACTGGCTTGTTTAATCTTAACATCTAGCATAGATAAAAACAGTAACAATGCACTGGCTTGTTTAATCTTAACATCTAGCATAGATAAAAACAGTAAAAATGCACTGGCTTGTTTAATCTTAACATCTAGCATAGATAAAAACAGTAAAAATGCACTGGCTTGTTTAATCTTAACATCTAGCATAGATAAAAACAGTAAAAATGCACTAGATTGTTTAACCTCAACAACTAACACTCAGAAAAAAGTAAACATGCACTGGATTATTTAACGTTTACACCTTGCACAGATAAAAATAGTAAACATGAATTGGTTGTTTAACCCTTCAATATGGGTGGGTGGGTGGATTCCACTCATGCATTTTTTATTTTTGAATATTGACTATCCAACATGCAAAGTAATTTTGATTTTAGGATTAAAAATACTTTTATGCATCAGAAAATTGTTATATTTCATATGTGAAATCTCCATAACCTCCTAATATCCTCCAGATAATTATCAAACGTTTTTTTAGAAAAAAGTTTATTTTTTATCTGTTATTTTCACTACTGTATTTTTGTATGGGTTTGATCGATTCTACCAACCTCGTAACTACCATAAAAAAAAAAGGAAATAGATATAAATTATGCTTTTTTCATTCTAGAATTACTACATATTATAAAACAAAACCACAAGTGTTTAGTATAAATAGCTTACATCTCATAACATTTTACATATATAAAAATTTATTATTTTTATTTTATTGACTTTTCAACAGTGTCTCACTAATGTTACAGAAGCTGAATGATGCAGCACATCTGCACTCATGTTACCGTATCCTAGAATATATAAAACCGGCCTTTATTAAGTGACCTGTCTTGGCTGTGTTCTAGTGGACCAGTATTTTGTAAAATACATTCACATTTTGGTTATAATACATAATATATGCATATACATTATTACTATTTACAAACAAGTTCTTATATTTCAGTTATTTTTCATAAAACAAAGAAGAGTAAATAAAGAAACACAGAAAACAATTATCGCTTCTAGTAACGAACTTTGTAATCATTGGTGCTTGCTGTAATTTGCTAAGCCTTATCAAATTTCACACATGGAGAATGTAAAAGAAAATAATTTTTTAGGTTTAATATATGCATTTTGAAATAAAAAATCATAAATTACTATATACATACCACAGAATTCCACTATAATTTATCAGGCTTAGGTAGCTAAGCTGTATTTGGGTCTAAAAAGTATGATTTTTCAAGCTCAATAATGTTTTACCTTACCACTTTGAATCTACAATGTAGAGAAAGGGTTTCCCATGCAAGTACTTTGCAAAGGCTTAGAAAACCACATGAGGGATATTCTGAGCTTTCAATTGGTTATTCACATGTCATAAACAGAAGTAGGTGTATGTAAGCAAGTGTTTCCAAAAATGGAAAGATGTGGGTGGGGCCACTGTGTTTGATTCACTAAATGTAGCAATATCTCAGCAAATAGAAAAAATAGGAGGTTCTTATTTTATATTCTAAATTATCAATATTGGTCATTTGAGTTCCTAATTTGTAAGAAACTATAGATTTTGTGTTTGAACATCATAAACATCTAATCTGAACCAATGCTGCATTCAACATACCACATGACAGGTTGACCCGTGACCACAGGAAGACCCGTCAGACCCACCTCAGTAGGGTTAATCTTAACACTTTGCACAGACAAAAGTAGTAAACATGCACTGGATTGTTTAACCTTAACAACTATCGCAGACAAAAACAGCAAACATGCATTAGATTGTTTAACCTTAACACCTAGCAAAGACAAAAACAGTAAATATGCACTGGATTGTTTAACCTAAAATAAGAACAGATACAAACAGTAAATATGCATTGCATTCTATAATCTTAACAACAAGCACAGAAAGAAAGAATGAGCTTTAAGAAGACACATCTTCTAACTTGCTTATAAAACAATAAATAACAAATTTAAATGTGCTAAATAACTCTAGAACTACCTCTAAAATGAAACAAACAAACAAACAAAAAATAGCTTGATAATTGGAAAATAACAAATTACACAGAACAACTGTTCTAGATACACCTTACTCAGACAAATCTAGATGTTCTTGGCTGTTGTGGAACTTGTAAGCAGCTTCACCAAATTCATCAATTACCGTATCCAAAGTGTCTAGAACAATTAGAAAAAATATTGAATTACTGTAATAAATTTTTAAATCTGTACATCTTTTAGTAAATAGTGCAGCCATTAATAGGGCTAACTATGAATTTATCTGAAAGGCATAACATTTAACCCCTTCTGGACTGAGGAGGTGAGGATTACTGACATCCCTTCATTTTTTTCCCTTTCTCACAGTAGAAACACTTAACCAAATTGCATGGAACTTTGTAAAAACTAACAACATAGTATGCAGTATTAAGCTTAAAATATATTATTTACGTTTACTTTTTCTATCATAAAAAATACATACTTTAATTTCAGAGCTTATTTATTATTGTTCATTAGACAGTTCCTTTTATCTATTCAGTCAGTTTCAATTTGACTGGTAATCATCAACATGTTTATTTTGAAACTTAATTCAGTTCCTTTTATCTATTTAGTCTGTTTCAATTTGACTGGTAATGTTTATTTTGAAACTTAATTTTTCCAATTGCAGTAGCCACTACTTATGGTTATAAATCATAAAACATCATAAAAACAATGGCAACAGCTGTAAAAAGATTTATTTGTAGCCTGTGACTTGAGCTATCACAATGGCACTAGGTATGAATAGGTAACACTATTCTTGGTCAAGATCAATTCACATCTAATAAGTATAGTCTCTTTTCAATAAGTAAGTTCTTTTATTTATTTACATTGTTTGAACAAGATAAACTTAACATTAATATTCATTAAATAAAGATTTGAATTACACTTAATTTATTGGAATATTTTTCTTTCACTTAGCTAACATTCTAGAAATAACTAAGCTTAGATGAGGTCTTATTATAGAAGAAAATTTTTTAAATTTTGAAATAAGTATAATTAAAAACATTTTTAGGAATGAAAAGAATGTCTAAACAAACTATAAAAATTTCCAGATCTGTCATTTGTTCTTAAATCTTTCAATAAATTCTATTGTTCTTTTCTGCAGGAGCTACATCTAATCATTTTCTCATGAAACCATAAATTAATTCTCATATCACTTTATTCACTCTACACTGACACAAATAGTTTATAATAATGGTATTCAAACTTTGGCTGCAGCTATTTTCAAGGCTGAAAGGTGCTTACCAGCCTGTTAAGGGTTAAGAGTCAAAATTTTATATATGTAGTACTGAGTGAACTACATTATTTGACATAAAAGAATTGATTTTCAGGCTTCAAAAATTAATTAATGATTTTATGCCAATATTTCAACTTACATCTTTGTCAGAGTACAAAGTAATTGAAAAACTTAGTATAATAGGCTTACTTGTCATATTCAATTTTTGCATTGCATCATACTCTGACAATGACCCAAGTTGAAATATGTTTGCTTTTTATCTATAATATAATTCAAAATTTTTATTAATCTTACTCTCTAGTACATATAAAATTCCATGACCTCATGGCATTCTTTCCATGGCCAAACATATCATTGTATGGCACCATGTAGATTAACTCTTCCCATCTGGATCTGGCTCTTTTGTACATATCACAACATTTCATGTTGTTACATTCAAAATTTGATTAAACAAGTTTATCATCATTCTATGTCAATAAACTTGGCAAAAAATGTAACTTATAATTCAGATTTGTGTTTTATGTAAGTATTACTTCTTAATTTCAAAAAGGAGATATAAAAAATTCTCAACCTTCATTTTTATGCCATATGATGCACCTGAGCTTCAAATTCTCTGATTTAAGAATTTTCTAACTTCTAAAATAGGCTTCTGCAGTTTCAACCCATTTAGAAACACGAACTATACATAATCACAAGCAAGAATCTAAAATTTTAACCTCCTATTTTTAATTGTTGAGATATAAATAAATTTGTTACACCTACCAGGGAAACCCACACCATATTATTCTAACTTCCAAGTTTTGCTTAATCAACTTTACAATGCTGATGAATCTGTTTATAACCAAAAGGAAGAGCAGATTGTCCTCATTAAAGCTATTTGGTTTCAGCACCAACAGAACAAAAGTCTGTTGTAGTTTTTTTGTGTACAAACATCATATTCCTGCTCCAAACATTTAAACAGAATTTCTTTTAACCTACCAATAGCTAACTTAGAAAGCCTGCTAAATAAAAGTAGTTTTGGAACATTCTATTCTAATAACAGATATATTTTTTTTGAATTCTAAAATATATATTTTAAAGCTACACATACTTTTTTGACACCCAAATTTGTGAGATTTAATGAGGCTTACAGTAAAATGTTTATGTCAGTGCAAAATGCATTGAGAGTAAAGTGAGTATTATAAGTCCTTGTTTTTTCATGTATATATATTTAATTTATGAGTCATATTTTTGTAAATAAAATTAACTAAAATGTAAAAGTTATAAATTTCTCAGTTTAGCCTATCACAACATCAGTAAAATGTGTAAAATTACACTAGCTGAAGCATTTATAGCAGGACACCTCATAATCACATGATCTTAACTCTGCAAGAAACATCTAATGTGCTCTTCCTGGTGTTATTTATTGCTTTTCACAAAACAAAATAAAAAATAATAATAATAAACAGCAAAGGTTTTTAATCTCATTTCTTCATCCCCATAGATTCTGTTGTTAAATAGTCAATAATACTATTGGTTAATTTTATTGATGTTTTCACTTCACGCAATTATAACATTATTTTAATCATGTATTCTCTAATTTGCCAAATTATCATTATTTTCTCTTGCCTAATGATGACCTAAGTAAAAGGTCGAAATGTTGCATGGCTATTTTTATATATATATATATATATATATACGCGAGTATTTCTCCGTAATAAACATTTCACAAGTTAAAAACAATGAAGTACGATGTTTTTTTGTTATTACAATAGTATTTCTATTCTCAAAATGAAAATCACCTTGTAGGTGAACTATTCACAGTCTGAGTGCAAATAATTACATTAAATAACAAATTTTTCTTAGAAATAGCAAAAAAAAATCAAAATGAAATATTTTATTTTTCTGAAACTACATCTTTTTAGGAAGGTTCTTGTCAAATTTCAAACAATTTTATTCACTAGTTTTATTTTTGGAACAGAATATAATGATAGATACGTTAGGTCCTACAAATTGTAGGCACCAATAATCATAGGGGTTAAATACTTGATCACACTATACAGTTTTCATTTTTATATAGAATATCTTTAGTAGAATAAGCAACACAAAAGAAGTGTAGTTTGGATCTACATTACCTAGATAGCTTACATATCTTTGTTGGAATTCCTTCTTTTCTATGTTGACTGAAATCTTCCTTAATGAAATGGAACAACCTGAAAGAAATTCAGCATATTCCAGCAGGTTGAATGGGATAAAAAGAGAGTCAGCAAGATCTCTTAGCAGTTCTCCAAGTACTTTTGTCACAGTTGCATGATACTGAAAGTAAGGAGACGAAGAAACAATAAACATAGTTCACCATAATTCACTTTATACAAACTCTCAGTTATCTTTAGACATAAAGCTCACTTCTAATAAAAGTAAAACTTACTTGCTTCTCCTAGAAACACAAAATGTCAAATTTCATTTTTCACCAAAAAAAGAAAAATTATTTGCTTCTCTAAAAAAGCAAAAGTTTACTTCTCTTAGAAATTTATATAATGAAAGTCCACTTACCTATTCAAACTATTATAGTTTAAATATTTTTTAGGTTTTTATGACAAAACATAAGGAGAAAGTTTTTCAAAACATAACTATGAAAGATGACTAAGGTCCCTTAAGTGATACTCAGACTTCTTTGCCTGTTTTGCTCAGAGAATATAAGTCCAAATGTGGTCATAAAGTATTGTGGTAATGATTTTTGAACCACAACTGTTAAGTTAGAAATGTTACAAGCTTAGCAGATGCCACAGCAACTTGTTGTCCCAAGCAGTTTTTTTAAACTTTTATTTTATTTTTCAAGTTATTTCCAACTTTTAAAGCATGTATACAACTCACTGATATTTCAACTTTTCCTCATATTTCTACCTACTTACCCACCTTAGCTTGTAATCCGATTATGAAGGTTAATAAAAATTTCAGAATATATTTTCTTCAGACTACAATACTACAGGAAAAATAACTTCAAATAAGGACATTTTTATCTGATTGTATACAATAAAATATTTGTATTTATAAAAGAATATTTGACTTAGCCTATAAAATATAATGAATTAAAAAATTATCACCAGACAAAAGATTGACTGACCAAGAATAAGTTAAAATATACCAATAACTGGCATAGCTTACTTGCACATGGAGGTTCTAAGAATAATATTTTTTTTGAAATCAGAAGGGGTGGGGGGGGGGGGGTATCTCTATTTTCCCTGACTAAATTTTGTGATACCTTTGATAACTTTCAATTTTCCTTCATGTTTTCTGACTATTTGGCTTGTTTTCAAATTTCCTCATTTTTCTACATTCAAAAACACCTTGTTAGTATAAAAAGGAAAAGGAATGAATAATTTTGAGAATATCTGTACCCAAAAATATTGTCAAAAAACAGCTTAAGCAATTAACTTACCTTGAATGTTGGATCTATAATATTTTCAACTACTTCAAGCATATCATACTTGGAGTGAATAAGAGGATAAGATACAGGCATAGCCTAAAAGGAAGAAGTAAATCAAATCAATTCTCTTTATTAAAAGTTTTATAATTTTCTTTTCTCAAGAGTGTACATTTCGCTGTTTTGTTAGCACATTTTATACACGTTTTTTTAAAGTTGAAAATGTTCATTTTAAATGGCACTTTATGTGCACATGAGCTACAGCAGTGGTTTGAAAACTTTTTTGTCTGCAGACCATTTCAGCAAGGCAAAAGATCTTACAAACCACCTACCAGTACTATCCCATCTGTTCTGTTCTCTCATATGGCCTTGGTCATGCACTGCATTTTAGATCAGCCTGCAAACCACGTGGAGGACCCTCATGGACCACACACTGAGAACCACTGAGTTACAGAACCAAATCACAAATTCTTAAAATTTAGTCATAGGCATTTGTAACTCTGAACTACTGAGCAGAGACAGGGAAAACAGCCAGTTAGAAGCACCCATTGCCAAAACAACTTTGTCTTGCTCTTTGAAACAAATAATGGGATTGACTGCCACTATCATAATTCACCCAAAGCTGAATGTATGGAGCATATTTAGTAGTATTACATCATTAACCCAAGAGCCTTTAACCTGTAACTCAACATGATGACCAATAGGAAATGCTCGGCCAAATTTCACCCTTATAAAAAACATTAAGACTTAAAAAATCTGATCTTTAGTAGACTTAGACATTGAGCTTGAGATTGATGCCACAGTTCCATAATGCCTACATATAATTCAAGTTTAATAACACTGTAGTTATACATAACTTTCAGTCAAAACAAAATTTTTTAATTTAATAATAGCCTTAAAGTTATAATTCTTTTTTCTAAAGAAACCCTTTATAAGAATGTGATTTAAAGTAGGGCTACAATGATTTTTAAAGTTATAATTTTCCTATACTGAAAATGTATTTCTGATAGGTACATCCCTCCACTCCCAAGATTAGCTTTCCCGTTTTGTGCTGCCCTCTATATGCGAACTTTTTTTATAATGCATGCCACAAGCCTTCCACACACCCCCCCCCTCCCTATTGGAATCAAAGATTTCAATGTGTCTCTCATGCAAATCAACCCGAATTACCTCTCCACCAATAGGAGAGTAGTACAATCACATGATGCATGTGACTTCCTCTATACACCTCTACCAAACTATCACTTCAAAGTTTGGCAGATGACGGAAGTACTGGAAGATTATGGGGAGGAAGTGTGAAGTATGTATCAGAAATACATTTTCCATATAGGAAAATTATAACTTCCAATACAGTACTTCCTCCTCTCACAAGATTAGCTATAATCCCACACTGATAAGGGGGTGGGACCAGTGCAAGGGAAGAGCAGAAGGATACCCCTGTAGATGAGAGCATCAGATCCGGAGATCTGAAGAGGAGAAACCACAACACTTCTGATCCAGGTATACTCTTCACCACATATGAAGTAGGTGAAATTGGAAGAACATGGTGGTAAAAGAAGGGAGCACATCCGAGTGGGAGAGAATATGGCAGGGAGTGGTCTTACAAGGAAGAGATATGATCTCCATCCCACAGGAAGAAGGTGGATAAATGAGGAGAGTCCCATGGTGTAGAGTGGCTCGAGCACAGTGGACCGTACTCGGTAAGTCAACTACATCAAAAACCTCCTAGTTGGGTACTGACATCCATGTGAGGGTAAGATGAGGATCATACCATCTTCACCTCAAACCCCAGAATCATGGATGAGAATAACACATCGATTCCAGGGCATGACACAAGATTAGCACTGAGCTAGGTAGCCAGGAATGGGATATCCAACATCCTAGGGAAGTCGATCACATGCAATCAATTCCGAAAACTGTGAAACTAATCCGGAACATCCAAAGGGCAATAACATCCACGTTACAAGAGAGGACATTGATGGAGACATCCCACATATCCTTACTGTGACCCACAACACAATAGGGGTAATTGAGGGAGGAAGATAGACAACCCAAAACCTGTGTGAGGACTTATGTTGATTGGTTCACTCTAAATCCAAAACCAGCACACGGTTACTGAAATCCACATGAGGGTAGGATAAGGGCTCCCAATCAAAGGAATGAACTGCATTTTGATGTCTCACTCCATGGTATATTAAACTCAATCTGGAGTATCATATGCCATCTACACTGGCAGAACATCACTGCCCTAATCTGAACTGAATGGTTATAACCATCTTTGTGGAACTAATTCAACAGGGTGCCTCCATGGTCAACCATCCCAGTGGCTTGGAACTGGTAAGTGGTAAGGACTCTCATGCTCCACTTAAAGACAAGGGAGCCAGATAGTGCAATGGAGAGATTGGAGGAACATCGACACCCAAGACGGTGCAATAGGTGATCACGAAACCTCATTTTGAAAAGCATACCATACCGATTTATTCAATTGAGGCATGGCAGGGATGGGCAGCTATACCCTTCTGCTTTACCCATGCTTTCCAAATATTGCAAGATTATTCACCTACAAGCAATCTTGTGAAATGCCCCATCTCAAAGGTGAGCATGCGGAACCATGGAAAGAGCGCAAGATTCAAAATGGTGTATAGTGCAAACTTAGAGTTAAAGAATACCTTGTCAGGCATCACTCGCCACAGAGTGGGATCCATAAAAGAAAGAAAGCAAGGTCCCTGAAAGGAAAGAAAAGTATTAATATACTTATCCAGACAAAGTTGCACGGAAGTATGAAAAACGACTGCAGATGGGGGACAAGAAACCAAAGAAGAAGAAGAAGGGAAGAAGAATATCTGAGGTGTAGTCCACTTGCCCCATTGAAGAATGTCCTCTAAGGGATGATGAAGATGAGAAGCCAGAGGGAGAAGGTGTCAAGTGCAGGGAGAAGACAGCTGGAACAAGATCCAGGAGGACACATAAGAGAAGAATAAGCCAATCGAAACAAAAGCCAAACCCAATTGGTGAGGGCAGAAGGAGAAAGCCTATGAGCTGAGGATGGGCACCATTAAAGAAAGAAGTAGAAAGGGGAACCACAGATTGAAGCCGTGTAAGCAAAGCAATACCAAAGAGTATGTAGAGAACATAGAAGGCTATCAGGATCAGGCCAATGATAAGGTGGAAAAGGAAGGAATCAGCAAAGGGGGGAAGTACCCCCCCCCACAAGTGTAAGGAAAGAACAGGAAGCAAGGATAAAACAAAGGCGTGAGAACGGTAATAGAAGTATGCCCCCTAAACAGGTAAAACAAACCCCAACAACAGAATGATTAGAATTTGACAGTTAGGTAATATGACAAAGGTATAAAAACAGTAAAAACTAAGAAGTAGAGACAATATAATGAATACATTTTACTCTTTTCTAGAATCAACATGTTTGCATGGATTTGTTCTTGATTTAGCAGATCAATCTGTGTCATATTATGTGAATGACTGTCAAAAATATATTCTAACTGTACAACTCACACCTCTCATAAATCACATGACATGCAAGAATTACCATAATTACTCAATATAATTGGATATTTAATCATTTAAATGTTTCTGTGTTCATGAATAAACTTTCATATTCAAACAAAATTATGCTATTTCTGAACAGAAACAATTACTGTTTTTATGATTTTGGCATCCATTTCTGTGGAAAATCAAACTGGATTTGATTATCCAAAAAATCTTCACAGCCCTAATAAAAAGAATGTAAATCATAGAAGAAATATCTGTTAATAAAAACACCATTAATTTGTACAATTGTCAAATACTCAATCTACACCCACAGAGTATTATTAACAATATCATTCAAGTATAAACTAGGCTAGCTGAGACACATACTCACTGTTTGAAGTTGGCTTTCCCACATCTGGTATACTAAGTGTGTCACAAATCAAATGAAAAAATTAGATTTTAAGCTAGTATTTATCATGAACCATGATAGTGGTTCATAATAGGGATTGCACAAAATCCTAAAAAAAAGTGCCTTAAACAATAAAGATTCAGTTCAAACAACATATTAAAACCTTTTCTACTGACTACCAAGGCTGTCACATATAAAAATGCACAAAAAAGCACACGTTAGATTTACGAAGAAATCTGCTCAAAATGGTCCATTTGTAATTCTTTCTCATTATTATTATTCTCTTGCCAGTGAAGCAATTGGGTATTTTAAGTAATTTTTACAATTGCTTCAGTGTTAAGAAAGAAAGTAGAGAAAATTTAGGTTCTAGGTGTGGAACACATACATGAAGAAATGGCATAAGTAAGGACGTCTGAATTGCAAAATTAGGTCAAGAACAGGCAAAGCATAGTTAGCTATTTACTTAGTATTAAGAATCACAAGTTAAAGATTTATAAAAAATAGAACTAATACCTAGAACCCCAGTAAAAATGCTGAGAAAAACGCTAGTCACGAGTTTGACAGTGATAAGTTACTGATGTCGATCTAGTAGTACAGTAAAGGCTTCTAAAAAGTTTATGATAGCATGTAAAATCGGCACTTTGATGTAGGATTCGTTACTACAGACTGGAATAGTAATATAAGTGAGAAGGAAACCGAAGCACTCACCATCACAGTAACCAATTTTTTGAGAGTTTTGGTTTTTGAAACGCCCAACAAGTTGCAGAAATTAGCCAATGAAGTATCAGAACTGAACTACTTGCGAGTAGTTACGAATACTACTTGGAAACTCGTAAGAATACAGAGAAAATGTTGTATGAAAACTCATGTCTGAAGCTGAAAATTCAGTTCTCCAAGAATGAATAATAGTTCTCAAGTTTGGGAAGTTCTATCCATGATGAAGGTATCCAATTTGCAACAATACACCTCCTCAGCTTTGATGTAAGTAAGATTGATATTTCTCAATTAACGTAGTTTAGGATAAAATAGTAAAGCAATTGATATGAAGAATGTTAATGTGTGTAACAGATTTGAATTTCTCTTATGTGAACTATGTTGTCAATATTAACTTCAAAGTTGGATTGTTAAAAATTAATGAATTATTAATGGTTTAACTGTTGTTATTAAAAAGTGTATGTTGTTGTAAGAACTCCAATAAAATTGA